TGAAGAAAGAAAAGTAGATTAAATAACAGTGTACAGGTTTCATAAAAACAAGATGAAAATATAATTTAATAATCGTTAAACTTACAATTCTAAATTATTTGTATATGAAACGCAATATATATTTGTGCTATCAAATTTACATATTTCTCATTTCTCCCCCCATATTTTCAAAAGAAGATTTATTTACCCTACTTTGAGAGTATAACGTTTCTAGTCATTAAATTCCTAATTTTAAATGATTTTAACTGTTAAAAATACGATATCACCAAATCTGAGGAAACCTCAAACTCCCAGAAGATAACAAACTATAGAAATTTTATTAAAAAAAAGATTTCCATTTTATCCGTTTTTACGTGACAATTATCCAATTTTTTAACTGTTCTAATTTACTCTCTCATAATTTTTAACAGCTCCAAATCTTCCAACTTGCACTCCGAACTTAATTTTTTTTTTAAAAAATACATCGTAGATGTGTTTCATTTAGTTTTCAATCCACTAATCCACATGAAAAAGATTTAAATAGTTAAGGTACTCAAAATACCCTGTGTACGTCAACTCTATGTACCTGTAAAAGCAAAGTTGCCGCTTTAATGTCGTCTTTCTTCGCCGCAATATGGAGGGCAGGTAACCGTACTTTACCTCGCGTGTCATTTTCGAGGAGTAAAGCAACAACTCGGTCATGTCCTTGTTGTAAGGCGACAGCCAAAGGTGTAAAACCATCCTAAAATTAGAAACTTTATTTGGAACCTATATTCCATAAGCAGTATACTAAAGGTTGCTGGAAAATAAACTAGAATCAACGATAAAGGTTGCCACATCAACGTCAGTTCAAAGCTTCAAGATTCAAAATGAACCTGTTTAAAAAAAAATCAATCCGCATCTTCATCAATAATAATTTAACCATACACAAAGAAGTCCATCCTTAAAAAAAAATGAATGTCCTACTGTACTCGACTTTGGTGCTCCTTAAGCCCCTTCCACCATGATCATCCAAAACGCACTACTTCTTAACAAGTAAAATGAAGCATAAAGAATTGAATTTTTCAACAAGACTGTAAAATCAGCAGGACGAAAAAAAGATCAAAAACGGGTTAAGTTATGTTCAAGATCTAGAGCAATAAAAAGGCTATAAAAAATGTAAGATTTATGCTGCAGAGCAACATCAGTATATTGTCTCGAGCGATAAAAAGATGCTCTAAAAAATAAACTAAATAAGAATTGTCTGAATGAGTAAATTCAGAGTTCAAGAAAGCATTCAACGAGTTTGAAACTCTATTACTTACAATTGGTAAATTACGAAAACCAAACTTTTAAACTTGCATGCATCACCAATTCTCAGGAGTTGTGCCTAAACCAAAAGAATAAATAAATGAATAAACGAAGAGCCACATGCAGTAGTTGAATACAGCAAGATACGATCAAAATATAACAATTGATTTAACCGCCATCTGTGTGTTGATACATCGAATCATTTGCAGTATCGTCATAAATTTCCCAGATTTTCATCGTTCTTATTTCTCCTCTCATAAATAAGTAAAGCAGTAAAGAATTATACATAAAAATACTTTTTTATTTCCCTTTTAGTTTTTTAAAATATTTTAGCTATAATACAAAAAAACCTTTAAAAAACAAAAGAAATGAACAGTCCCTTCAAAAACTGTCTTTTTCAATTGAAAAACCGAACGTTTTAGAAAATATTCATTATTATTCGAACAAATAATCTGAATCCAATCAATTAGGATTCGCTGATGTATTTAAATCCGATATGGAATAAAAAACTCAGCTGAAAGAGTAATAACTAGCTAATTGGCTCGCAAAGTCTAAACTGCCCAGTGAAGCGTATATTCTTTACCCTATGCCAGGAGGCACCGTTCAACAACAACAGCAATAAAATCCCGTCGAGAGAAATAACATCCGCCGGAAATTCAACTTATTAGACTGAGTAATAAACTTTTAAACTGAAATATTGAACAAAATAGCCCATAAAGTTGACGATCTACTCAAATACTTTGCAAGCATGAGATTGTCAGATTAAATCTAAGCCCTGTAAACCCTTCCAAAATTAAACGGTATAGCCGAACAACACCGTGCTAACGGTGTATTTCCTGGAATAGCGCTAGCTTTCTGTAGTGCCTGTCTGTTTAAATAGCTTAACAACTTCTTACAAAACGATGACAAGTTGCTGCTAATCAACAGAAAAACCGAAAAATAAACACTACAATAGCATTAGCTGGTCTTTTTTTCCAAGTAAACATCTTCAACAGCAAATCCAATTTTCAAGCAACAAGTAACACTACAGGAGTTAATCTTTAAAAAAAACTAACTGAAACCAGAGAAGCCATAATTTCCAAAAAAAAAAAAAAAAAAAAAAAAAAAAAAAAA